TTATCTGAAGAGATAGGGATGCACAGGGAGCTCAACAAGCAACTTAGATGTGAAATGAGGGTGGAGAGATGGAAGCAAGGACGGGTAGCAGAAGACAAGTAGAAAAGCATGGGCAGTACTCTGAGAAAAGTACCCAGAGTTCCAAGGGCAGTTTTCAGGCTGGTGAAGAAAGCTAAGATCAAGAAAATGGCATATATTTAAAAACTCTGCGAATGGGAGAATGATGATTTTTTTTTTTTTTGGTGAGGCAAGTGGGGTTAAGTGACTTACCCAGGGTCACACAGCTAGTAAGTGTCAGGTGTTTGGTCTGAGGCCGGATTTGAACTCAGGTCCTCCTGAATCCAGGGCCGGTGCTCTATCCACTGCACCACCCAGCTGCCCCTGGAGAATGATGATATTGACAGAGAAAGCAGAGTTACTTTTTATTTTGGTCCCATTTTTTTTTTCTTCCAAGGAGACCAGCCTTTGGACTAGACAGGAGGGAACAAAGATGGATCCCAGGGATTCTCTAGCTGCAATATACTTCTTGTGAGGTTGTTAGGAGATAGTAGGTGATTGCCTGGCTGTGTCTGATGAATTCAAATCTCACCAGGCTCAGACAAATGACATCTTCACGCACTGACGGAACTAGCCTAAATGAAGGCTGAGCCCCGGTCAGGGATGTTCAATCGTGTAAAAGGGATTGGAAAAGGGAAAGCATTGTCCTGATTTAGCAAAGAGGGCAGATAATTTGTCCTGCCAAATTGGAGAATGGAACGCTGGGAAAAGCAGCTTTACCAATGCTAAACTTGTCTTCTGCAGAATGCCTTAAGTACACTTAGCTTAGATTTTAGCAAAATGTTTAATCAAGTCTCTTGTGCAATTCATGTGGAAAAGGTAGAGAGAGGGAGGCTAGATATGATATGATCAGCATTCAGAACTGGTTGGAAGTCTAGACTCATGAAGCAGTCATTAATGGTTTTATGTCAGCTTCCAAGGAGGTCTCCAGTAGAGTGCCACAGGGATCTGTGCTTTGCATTATGCTGTGTGACATTTTGATGAATGACTTGATAAAGGCACAGATGACATGCATAACATGATTGTTGTATTGAAGTGTTGGAAGCAGTGTTATGTGGAAGAAGGATCTGATTTGTCCTATTTGGCCAGAGAGGGCAGAACCAGGAAGAATGGGTAGAAATTGCAAAGGGATCAGTTGCGATTTGAGGTCAGGAAAACCATCCTAACCATTGAGCTCTCCCGAGGTGCTAGGGGCTACCTTTGGAGGTAGTGTTTTCTCTCCTGTTGAAGCAGGGCTGGATGATCACTTAATGGACGTGTTATAATGTGGATTCTTGTTTGAGTACAGATTGAACTAGACGGCTGCTAAAGACCTCCCACCCAGCTCTAAAAATCTGTGATTCTTGGCTCCGAGTTCACGTCCTGCTTCCTAGCATATATTTCCGTCTCTAAAATGGGAATAACAGTAATTATACCACCTACCTCACAGCCTTGTTCTAATCAAGCAATAAGCATTTATTAGGCACCTACTGTGTGCTAGGCACTAGAGATGCAAATGCAATGAATGAAACAACCTTTATTCTCAGGGAGTGTTGTAACTGGGGCAAAAGTAACTACAACATATGTAAGTATGTGCAAAATAAATGTAAAGATAATAAAAACCAATAAATGCCAAGTAATTAAGCATGGGGTACGTTGGATGGGAGGGTGCTAGCACTTGGGGGAGATCAGGAAAGGCTTTGTCTTGATGATGATGCTTGAGCTGCGTCTTCAAGGAAGAGAAATGGAAAGCTGCCTCTATGAGGCATAGATGAGGACGGAGTGCATTCCAGGCATCTGGGATGGCCAGTGCAAATGAGAGGAGAGGGGAGATTAAGAGTCATGTGTGAGGAGAGGAGAGAAGGCCAGTTGGGCTGGGAGTGAGAATAAAATCCAGTTGGTCTGGAAGGATCAGTGGGAACCAGATTGTAAAGGTATGTAAAAGAGAAACAGAGTTTAAATTTTATCCTAGAGACAACAGGGAGCCAGTCAGGTTGATTAAGTAGAGGGGCCTGCACTTAAGGAAAATCACGTTGGTGGCAGTGTGGAGGACAGATGGGACTGGGGAGAGATCTAAGGCAGCCAGACTAATTAGGAGGCTGGGAGAGTGGAGGCTGGGCTAGGGGAGGCTGGATTGAGGGAAGGCCAGGTGAGAGGTGTTGAGGGCCCTGAGTGATGAAGATGTGCCTGTGTGAGGAGAGAGGAATCAGATACCAGACATGGCAAGATTTGGTGAATGATCATGGGGAGTGATGAAGAGTCAGGTGTCCAGGCCAATGATGTTATAATCCTGGGAGACTGCGAGGATGGTGGTGTCTTTGACGGAAGGAGGGAAGTTTGGAAGTGGGGAGGGGTGGGGGGTCTTAATGACTTCTCTGTTGAGAGTGTTTGTAAACCTTTAAGGAGCGGAGATGTGGAAGCTGTTACTATCCTGAGTCAGCCCCCAGCTCTCTGCCACAGCGGTCCCTCTATATCCTTTTAGCTAAGCAATGACTCAAAGTAGCATCCTCCTTTCTAGCCAGACTAGATGCCAGCAGTCTGCCCTTGGTGCTTCAGCCCAGATGTCAATGTGCTGCTTGGTCAACATGGATACCCTCCCAGGAAGATATTGGCATTCATTCCTCGAATAACTGGATTTGTTTGGCTTTCTAGTGGGCATCCAGCTGCCAGCAATTCTTAATTAAGAATGAGTTATTAATACTAATTACTTATAATAATTTATTATTTAATATAATTTATTAATAATAATAATTCTTAATAACCAGGGACCTTGGGCCAGTGATAAAACCCTTCTGAAGCTCAGTTTCGTCACCTGTAAAATGGGGCTAATAATGCTTTGTATTAGCTACCTCTCAAGAATTGTGTGATCAGATGAGGTCAGGGATGGAAGGTGATGGATAAATGAATGAATGAATGAAGTATTGATTAACTGCCTAGGATGTGTCAAATACAGTGGATACAAGGAGAAAAGTGGGCCGGCCCCTGCCCTCCAGGTTCCCACTCTAATGTGAGACGTGACACATGTAGAAGGTTTGAGCAGAGCAAACCAGATGGAAAAGTCCCATGGTCTCTGCAGTGCAACCACAAAGCCAACAGTCAGGCCTCTCCTTGCATGGCATTTCTTCTGACAAACTCATATCCGTATCTGAGGTTGAACCATTTGTTCATGCCAAGGCCTTTGGGGGCCAGAAAGTTTTTACATGGGTCTTCAGTAGCTGTGGCTGCTAAGAAAGGGGGTTGTAGCACCAGCAGGGGCAGGTATCTGGTCTCATCATCACGGGCATGGCTTCCCAGGATGGTGGCTGTGGGGGTCTGGGTTGGCAGTGGGCCTAGTGATCCAGGGGCTGATGCCACTTCCAGGGCTCTTGGGTTTACCTTCCCATAAATGGCAGTCGGCCACCAGTCGGCATTGGGGGTAGCGATGATGGTGGACCCCTTTTCCACAGTGATTTCTCTCCTTGATAGTCTATGAATGTGAACCATTGGCAGTGCCTGAGACAGGAAGACCTGAGTCCAGATCTTGCCTCAGGCTTTTACTAACTGAGTGACCCTGGCCAAGTCACTTAACCTCTATTTGCCTCACTTCCCTTATCTCTAAAATGGGAATGATAATAATAGTGCACCCACCCCTCAGGATTGCTATGAGGAAAAAATGAGACAATATTGATCATTTGTAAGCAATATTTGTGAGCACTTTGCAAACCTTAAAATGCCATATGGGTGCTAGCTACTATTATTATTATTATTATTATTTAAACAAATCTTCACTGAGTAGCTTTGGCACGCAAGACCTATATTTGATACTATGGCTGAGATGAAGATTAGTAAGACAGACATAACCCTTCTCCTCAAGCAGCTCGTAGGGGAAATGAGACAAGTACAGAGGGAAGCACAAAAGGGGAGGAGAGGGGGGCTGAGGGCCTGGGAGAAGCAGAGATGTGGAGAGATGCCATGGTATGGTAGAAGGAGCCTAGGTGTTAGAATCTGTGGGCCTGGGTTCGAATCTTGGATTAACCTTTCTGATCTTGGGCAAGTCCCTTCCCCTCACTGGGCCTCAGTTTCCTTCTCTGTAAAATGAGGGGATTCAACTAGGTAGGCTCTGAGGTCTCTTCTAGATCTAGGTTCCTGTGTGTGACTTTGAGCAAGTCACTTCCCCTCTATGGGCCTCAGTTTCCTTCTTTGTAAAATGAGTTAGAATTGTTGGACTCTGAGGTCTCTTCCAGCTCTAGAGCGATGATCTTCTGTATGACCTTGGGCAAGTCCCTTCTCCTCACTGGGCCTCAGTTTCCTCCTCTGTAAAATAAAGGGATTCAACTAGATGGCCACAGAGGTCCTTTTCTGCTCTGGATCTAGGATCCTGTGATCTCCTGGAGCTGCTAAAAAAGAAGGTATTGGGGGCAGCTAGGTGGCACAGTGGATAGAGCACCAGCCCTGGAGTCAGGAGGACCTGAGTTCAAATCCGGCCTCAGACACTTAACACTTACTAGCTGTGTGACCCTGGGCAAGTCACTTAACCCCACTGCCTAGCCAAAAAAAAAAAAAAAGAAAAGAAAAAAGTTATCAGATGGACGAGAGAAGGCCACAGAGGAGGAACCTGAGGCCTAGGGGTGGGAAGTGGCCTCCCTATGGGCCCTCATGCAATAAATGGCAGAGCCAATACCTCGTCTTTGTGCTCTGTGTCCAAGATCCAGTGCCCCCTCGTATTGGAGAGGCACACAGTGGGGGCTCCTATTCTAGTCTGATGGTGAGATCCTATGGCACTGAGCCTCTGGCCTGGGTCTAGGCCATCTGCCATCCTGCCTCGTGGGGCACCCCTGTCTAGAGGGATGGGCTTCCCACTGAGGAGACAGCTCACTCCTCGTGCCTTTACACACTTCCTCCAGGTGACTGATGCTTTTGCAGGAGGTATCAATGCCATCCTTTTGCATTTTCCCACATGGCTGTTAATTTTTCCTACTCACCAGGGCCCTGTGGACTTAACCTTGAAGTACTGTGTTAGGAGGAAGACAGAATCCATCGACAAGAGATTCTGCTTTGACATTGAAACTAACGAAAGGTAAGCAGGCCCAGTGGGCCAGCCTGTTCTCCCAGGTGTGCTAGCTTTGGGACTGCCAGCTTGCCATGCGTGGGTTTTTGCCCCCAAGGTCTTTATTTTATGGACATCAGAGTCTGGCCCAAGACCTCATCATCCACCCTCAGATTCGACTCTTAGTAGGAATCCCCCTTGGGCAACTTCCTACCTCTAATACTTCCCACAGACCCTTCAGTTTGCCACATCCTCACCCTCTGTGTTGGGTGGCAAGTTTCCAGAACTATTTTTCGCAGCTGTTATTTCAACACATCAACAACCTTTGATTTTATCAGGGTGACTTCTCACTCCACCATCCCACATGGTGACTCCTCCATGATTTAATAGAAGTTATATGAATGTTGACATGGTCAGAGTCATTGCCCTGGAGCCAGTATGGGGATGAGCCTCTCTGAATGTAGGCTGATCAGTCCTTCAGCAGCACACAAAAATGTGCCACTGGGCCTGTCCTTGTAGCCTTTCTGGCTTAGCAGGGTCTACCAGGGCTTGGCCTCTCACCGATTTGCTTTTGAGAAGACATTATTTCCCTGCCACAGTAAGGCATCAGAGTACATTCATGGAGATTCAGGCCATTGATGCAATTAAATCCATTGGCCATCATATGTACATGATTTCTAATCTATGTCTAGGCCAGAAGAATAGATTAACCAATATTACTTTGTCCTGCCTTAGGGCCCTGAGCCATTCACTCCTGTCTGGGCTCCTAGAGCTAGGGATGGAACCTTTTCATTTTACAGTTGAGGAAACTGAGGCAGACAAAGGTGAAGTGACTTACCCAGGGTCACATAGCTAATAAGGGTTGGGGGTGGGATTTAAACCCAAATATGGCCTAGATGTTCTCTAAAGTCTTCTTCCAGCTCTAAAATTCTATGCTTTCAGTGTCCTTCCCACTCTGATATTTTATGTTCTTATATCTTTTCCAACTCAGACTTTCTGTGGTCAGTGTTCTCGGGTCCCTTCTAGCTCCAACCTTTCTATTAGGCTATAGTTCTAATGAGCAGTTACCTAGTTCAAATTAATTATTAGTATGCATTATACAGAGAAGAATAACTCTGTTCTTTATGTATACTTTATATATAATATAGGTATTATATATTTATTGATAGTTTATTGCCCTATTATCTCAGGGATCATAGTATTTAGAGCCTGAAAAGACCCTTAGAGAAAAATCTAATTTAACGCCCTCATTTTATAGATGAGGAAACAGCCTCAAAGAGGCTGCCCCAGGTCACACAGTAGTAACTGAATGGCAAAGTTGATGTTTGAACCCAGGCCTTCCAATTCCAAATCCATTGTTCTTTCTGCCACAGCTAGGTGGCGCTGCATTGGATAGAGCGCTGGGTCTAGGATCAGGAAAACCTGCCTTTATCTGGCCTCAGGACCCTGGGCAAGTCACTTAACCTCTGTCTGCTTGTTTCATTTGTGAAATGGGCATAATAATAACACTTACTTCACAGGGTTGTTGTGTGGATTAGATAAAATAATATTTGTAAAGTGCTTTGCTATCCTTAAAGTGCCATATAAATGTTAGCTATTCTTATTATTATAATCATCATCATTATTAATACTTTAAAGTAGAGGTTCCCAAACTTATTTGGCCTTCTGTCCTCTTTAAAAAAATTACTCAGTGCCCCCCTGTAAATCTACTTTCTTTAACCCTTTAACAGATTTTTTAAAATTTGCATAATTTCAAAAAAATATAAAAAATTTAAAAAAGAGACATATCTTAAATTTAATAATTTATTGTAAATTTGTGGTTTTTCTCCTGCATTGAAATTTTGATGACATAATATTCGGTCATGTAACTGTATAGTATTGTATTGTAAACAAGTCATTACTCGCACATATTCCTGCTGGATTTCCTGACAATGCTCAACATGTTCACCTGCCAACACTTGCTTGTTAAGACCTGTCGGTGGACTTGACCACTGATCGGTTATAACTTGCATTTTGTGTGTTTATTTGGAAAATAATGTAATCACTACGACTTTAACTGTGTTACACAACAGATGAAACATGTATGAATGACTTTTCAAAATTTTATTATTTTCTCTTCTTTCTTCATAGCTTTCACCACCCCCTTATTTTTATTCAATAGCCCTGCATTGTACTTGAGGCTAGTACCACCCCCCTGGATCATTCTAGCATTGCTTCAATGGGCAGTATCACCCAGTTTGGGAACCTATGCTTTAAAGTAATCTAGTTCAACCCCCTCATTTTACAGAGTAAGAAACTGAGGCCTAGGGCTGTGAATGACTTGCCCACGGTCCAACCTTGGATCATAGGAGAAAACTGAGACCCAGGGAGAGGAAGGGACTCGTCCAACGTCACACATAGGCTCCTAGATCTAAGCTGGAAGGGACTTCAGAGACTATTGTATCCAACCCCCTCATTTTACAGAGGAGGAAACTGAGGCCCCACAGAAGGGTAGTGGCTCTCCCAGAGTCACACATAGGATCCTAGATCTAGAGCTGGAAGATAACCTAGACAGCTTCCTCATTTGACCAATGGGGAAATTGAGGCTGAGGAAAGTGAAGTATCATGCCCCAAGTCACCCAGTTAGCAAGTAGCAAAACTGGGATCCAAACCCTGGGCCTGTGACTTTCCATTCAGTTCCCTTTCCCTTGTTACAAGCTGATCTTTTGGATCGGGGTAGGAACCTGGGGAACCTTTTTTCTGACATCAGCCTTCCAGTCTTTGATTTGGGAATAAGTAACTAGCTGCTTTAGTTCTCCATTGATGAAAGGGGTCTGTCCCTACTGCCTGACCTAATGTTGTTGTTTGGACCCATATTTGACCTTGTTAGAAAGGATGTGATGCCCAGTCACTGAATCAGGTGGTGGTAGCACCAGAAGTGATTGACCTCCTCTCTGATCCTGAAGTCTTACCATGATGGCACACAGGTGATAGCAGGTTATTGGAGCTTATGCCAGTGGGACACATCCAAAGACCAGCCTAGCCATGTTAGACCAGCCTCATTGTTAGAGGGATGGCCAACACGGAATGATTATTTTCTGGCCCCAACTACCCACAGTGACCATGGAGGGGAAATGATGGAGGAAGGGATGAGATGGAAGATTCTTAGAAGCCTGATTGACAGAGTCAGAATCCGGAAGGATCTTGACAGGCTAGAGTTGGGCTTGCAGGCCATGGGACAACAGTTTAGTGGACTGGATTCGATCCCTGGGCTGTAGTTTTTCGACCCCTGGGCTCAAGCATTAGACTAAATCTGATAAGATGAAACAGAATTGGGATAAATGTAAAGAATTATACTGGGTTCAGAAGGTAGATTGCAGAATTACTGTGAATCAGTCCTTGAGATGATGCCTGGATAATGCAGGCTGGCCAGGAGAAAGTCCTTGGACTGGTGCTGCTCGCCAGACTTCATGGAGCCTCATATCTCATGTACTTGGTCTGGAGCTTGTGTTCTCAGCCTCACATGCCAGAATTGACTTTCTGGGTCCAAGCCAGAATTGGAGTTGGTTTTTTTTTTTTCTGGGTTAAGATAGCTAGTAACCAGCAAACCAAAGCTGGGTTGGTCTGCTCCTTGGTGTTTGTTTGGATCACACCTAGGATTTCATTGATGTGGGGAAGTTACTCTGCCAGGGTTCTTAATCTGGGGCCCATTGACCCCTAAGGGGTCCATGGATGAATTTCAGGAGGTCTGTGGACTTGGATGGGAAAAAAGATTACATCTTGATTTTAATATCATTTGGCTTCCTTTATAATCCCATGTATTTTGTTTTGTACATTTAAAAACATGATTCTAAGATAGGCCAAGAATCCCTGTTTTAAGGCATTATTTAAAGCACGTGACCCACAGCACTCCCAAGCATGGCCTGACCCAGATAAAATGTAGTTCCTATCTGATTTTAGTATGATGATGTATTAATATAAAAGAAATATGTTAAAAAATTTGTTTTCTAAGACATATGATATGAGGCCCCCATTAATAATAATAAGGCAGGGATCCTTATGTATGGTTTAGTGGCCTCTGTTGTTGTTGGAGTCTGATACTGTTGGTCTAGAGGACCCTAGAGGTTATGTGACTTGCCCAGGTCATACAGCCAAGTCAGAAGAGGGACTTCAACCCAGGCCTTTGAGACTCCAAGGGCAGCTCTCTATCCACTGTACCATGCTGCCTCTCTATGTAGTCATTAGGTTGGTTAAGTGATCTAACAGGCAGCTTCTGGGTACCTTCCTGACCTCAAGTGTTCAGTATACATCATGGGGTTTGAAGCATCCCTGGATTCTTCTGGTCTCACCCATAACTAAGCAGGAATCCATTCAAAGATATCCCCAGAAAGTGGTCATCCTACTTTTACCCAAAGACCTCTCGAGATTGGCAGCTGAGATGGCCCATTTGACTAGGGTAGATAGAATTCATGCTGCAGACTGGGAGATTTTCCAGATAGAAGGAGCCTTAAAGATTATCTAGTCCCTCCTCTCTATGTTGTAGATGGAGAAACTGAGACCCAAAGAGGGGATATGATTTGTCAACTAGGTGTTAAGTATCAGACCTGAAATTTGAACCCTGATTTTCTGGCTGCCTGTCTGGTGGTCTTTGCAACTAGATAAGGAGGTTTTCCTTATCTGGAGGAATGGAATCTGCTTCTCTGAAGTTTTTTTTGATTGTTTGGAACCCTGCCCTTTGGGTCAATTTAAAGTAATCTTGATTTTCCCTGTACCTCCTACCTCACTTTCTCTTTTTCATGCCCTATATCCCCATGTCCTTTGAATTATTCTTCATCTGGCCTAGTGCCCTGCTCTGGGACTCTCACCAATTGAATTCTCCTTTAATTTTGTCATTTTCTCTTTAGACCAGGGACTATAACACTGCAGGCCCTTTCTGAAGCAAACAGACGGCTGTGGATGGAAGCCATGGATGGAAAAGAACCAGTGAGTTACCTAAGGAATTGCCTTTCAGTAACACAGGTCTTTTGGAACAGTGACCTCTAGTGGTAGCACAGACTAACTTGCTTGAACAAACAATATGGGACTTTGGATGGGCAGGGTGACACTATGTTTGGTGCTAAGATCATAGGATCATAGGATTTCCAGCTGGAAAAGATAGTATAGTCCAACATCTGTCATTGAACAGAAATCCTATGAGATCTCTAAAGAATAAGTGACATGTATATTTGAATTATTCTATCACCTAACTCAGCCTAGTCTCTAAAAAGTCCAGCTGAATGACGAAAGCATTTATTAAGCACTTACTATGTACAGACACTGGGGATAGAAATAGAAAAGTCTGAATCTCACGGTCTAATAAGGGGAGGGTTCAGCTGCAAGTCAGATGGAAATATCCTATGGTCCTTAGGGGGCAGTGGCAAAGCAGGTGCTAATGCGTCTTCTTGAATGTCATTTGCACTGATTAAATGTCAGTTTCTGAAAGCTGAACCATTTGGCAAGGTATTTCCAAATGGGTAAGAAGGTTTTCCTTATCTGGAGGAATGGAATCTGCTTCTCTGTTGCTCAGTAGCTGTGGTGGCAGCCCCCAGAGAAGAAGTTGCCAGGCCACGTCTTCATGGGTCTGCCATTCTTCCCAGGATGATGGCTGGGAGAAGAGGGTGGGGTTGGGCTGGAAGGATTTATCATTACTACCTGTTAGTACTTCTCGACTGATGCAAGGATCTCTAGCTGGAAGGGACCCTTGAGGTCAGCCAATCCACCCTCATTACTTTACACATGAGGAGACTGAGGCTTGGGAAGGGGAAAGGACTTGCATAAGTTCACACAGTTATTCAGAGGACCTAGAGCTAGAAGGAAGTTTATAGGCCTTCTAATTCAACCTTTTCATTTTATCAGTGAGGAAACTAAAACTGAAAGAGGTTAGAGACAAGTACCCAAGATCACATATTAGATCATCCATCTAGAGTTGGAAGGCATTACAGAGGCCATCTTGTCAAATGCTCTCATTCTACAGAGGAGGCAGCTGAGGCCCCCAGAGAGGAAGTGATTTGCCCAAGGTCACACAGGCAGTAAGAGACAGAGGTGGAAATCAAACTCAGGTCCTTTGACTCTAATCCCAGGATTATTTCTACTCGAACTCTGGCCTCCATATGGCCTAGAATTTAGGTCTGGAATTTGTAACCAGTCCTGAGGCAGGCACCCTGACAAAGGGTCACAGCAGGGTAGCCATTCTGCTAATTAGTAGTCTGAAAAATGCGAAGCATTCCTAAGGGTGTCCTTGTTAAGGTTTCCTCCAGCAGGAGTTGCTACTCATCTGTTCTGACAGATGTGTGTGTGCTTATCCACTGGGAGTGGGTGGTGTCGGGACATGATTGGGTCTGAGGCTGGGTAAAAATGAATTATTGTGTTCAACAGAATTTCCTTTTTGTGGAGAGTCGTCTGTTTATCAGCATGGTTGCATTCCTGAGCTCTTGTGCTCTTATAATGTCTCTGAGTTTACTCGGGGATACCCAAGTGATAAAAAAAAGATCTGGGCAGAATGACAGGCTCCTAGAAACAGGTTGGGAGTAGGGAGGAGGGAGGAGGAAGAGTCACTCCAGTGAGTGGCACATCGAGAGAGTGAACTAGGGGTACGTACAAAGACTGGTCTTCTCTTCCCACTGCGGCCGCTGTTACTTCTGTGGCCATATGGCTTTTGTTGTGAGTTGTTTTTTGGAAGCAGTTGGAGTTTTGCAAAGATGGTATGCTTATTTATATATATATATATATGTATATATTAATTTGGGGAACCTCTAGGTCAGCCAGAGAACTATGGATTGTTCTGCAGTACATCAGAAATGCTGGGCATGTGCGTACATGTTTCTGTGTATATATGCAGGTATACATGGGTGTGTACATGTATGCATATGTGTGAGAATGATGCTCACTCAGACATGTTCACATGTGCACATGCATGCTCAAGCATGTGCACGCAAATGTTGACATGCATATGGTTTGTTGTTTATCATTTACTTGTGTCCAACTCTTCATGACTCCGTGGACCATAGTGTACATGGGGAGATACTGTAGTTGGTTTGCCATTTCCTTTTCCAGCTCATTTTTACAGATGAGGAAACCGAGGCAAACAGGGTAAAGGAAGTGACTTGCCCAAGGTCACACAGCAAGTAAGCATCTGAGGCTGGATTTGAACTTGGGTCTTCCTGACTCCAGGCCCCAGCGCTCTATTCACTGCAGTGCCACCTAGCTGCCCCTGTGCATATTGAAAGCCCTGAATTTGAGTCAGGGAACCTGGGTTGTGTCTTTGCTCTGCCAGTTTGTGTCTATGTAAACATAACCTGGCCTCGGTTTTTTTTTTTTCATTTATAAACTCAGTTGCTGTGTGCTATCAGTTGTTTTCTGTCCATAAAATCCCTGGAGTCCCTTCTGTCCTCACATAGCCACCACTCTAGTTCATGCCCTTGTTTGGACTATCGCAATAGCCTCCTAGGTGGAGTCCTGCTCTCCAAACCATCTTCCCCATAACTGCCTGAGGCATCTTCCTAAAACACAAAGCTGCTCTTACTCAAGAAGCATTGGTGCTCCCTATTATCTCATAGCCGAGGTAGAGTGGAGAGAGCTCTGGGCCTGGAATGAGAAAGACCTGAGTTCATATCTGACCTCAGACCCATATTAGCTGTGTGATCCTGGGCAAGTCGCTTCACCCAGTTTGCCTCAGTTTCCTCTTCTGTAAGATGAGAAGAATAACAGCACCTACCTCACAGAATTGTTGTGAGGATCAAGTGAGTTAACATTTGTCAAGCACTTTACAAACTTTAAGGAGCTATAGAAATTCTGGCTATCATCCTCATCATCATCGTCGTCGTTGTCATCATCATTAATGATCATCTAAAGCCTTTTGCAACCTGGCTCCAACCTACCTTTCCAGGCTTCTTACTCAAACCTCCTTTCATGAGCTCTATGTGGCTGCCAGACTGGCCTACTGGCTCCCCAGGCACACCAGCTCAGACACCACTTTTCCTGCTGCACCTAGATATTGGGGCCTTCTTTCTCTTCCTCAAATGACCAGGTAAATACTTAAGTGTTTAGGTGCTGTATCCCCTCAGTAGAATATAAGCCTCTTGAGGGCAAGGACTATTCTTTCCACTTGTCTTTGGATCCCCTCTTGGCAAGTAAAGGGCCTTGCACATAGATGCTGCTTAATAATACTCATTGGATTGGAGAGAGGGCCTCTAACTTCTCTTTGACAGTTTGGACATGGGCACATGAATGGCAGCGTGGCAAGATCATTGCATCTGGAGCCCTAACACCTGGGTTCAAATTCTGTGCCTCAGTTTCCTCATCAGTAAAATGAGGGGGGTTGGAAGAGATGATCTCTAAAGGCCCTTCTAGCTTTGTAATATCTTTGACTTATTTCCCAGGTATCTCTGGGCAAGGCCTTCTCCTGACCCAGTGAGTAGAGGCTTAGGAACACGACACAGGTATTTCAGACCACTTCAGATCAGTAAGCATTTATTAAGTGCCTACTATGTGCCAGGCACTGTGCTTGTCACTGGGGGTACAAAGGCCAAAATCTGTTGTACCTGCTGTTTAGAACATGAGTAAATGCAACATATGAACAGAGTAAGAGAAATAATAGCAGCTGGCATTTATATATTCCTTTAAGGTTTACAAAGTGTTTTATAAATATTATCTCATTTGATCCTCACGATATCCCTTGGAGAGATAGGGACTGTTATTACCCCCATTTTACAGTTGAGGAAACTGAGGCAGAGAATGGTCAAGTGAGTTACACACTGGTAAATATCTGAGCAGGATCCTGACTCTAGGCCCAATGCTCTATCCACTGAGCCACCTAGCTGGTAATTTTAGGGGAAAGGCACTAATTGCTGAGGAGATCAGGAGAGGGCTCTTATATTGGTTGAACCTTGAAGAAAATAAGGGATTCTATAAGGTAGTGGTGAGAATGAAGGGCATTTCAGGCATGGGCCACAGCCTATGCAAAGGCCTGGAAGTCGGAAATAGAGTATCATGGGTGAAGAACAGCATGAAGGCCAGATCTGGGCCAGATCAGAGAATGAATGAAGGGGAGGAGATGTACAAGGAAGCCTAAAAGTGTGTTGGAATCTAGGTTGTGAAGGGCTTGAAATGTTCAGAGAAGTTAGGATTGGCCTCGGATGAGCCCCTGGAGTTCATTGGGCAAGAGAGTGATACAATCATCACCGAGCTTTAGGAATATTCCTTTGGCAAGTGGATAGGGACAGGGATGGGGCCTGGGATTTTACTGATATGGGGAACTTCCAGATGAGGAAACTCCTGCCAGTGGAGACAGCACCTTATCTGTGAGTTGATAGCTGCATTGAGACATCTAGATGGTACAATGTACAACCCAGAGTCAGGAATGCCCGAGTTCAAATCCTGCCTCAGACATTTACTAACAGTGTGACCCTGGGCAAGTCACTTCACCTCTCTGCCTCAGTTTCCTCAACTATCAAATGGGGGCAATAATAGCACCTCCCTCCCAGGTTGCTTTGCAAACCTGATGGTGCTACAGCTTGTTATGCTGATGACGATCTGTAGGCCATATTCTAACCAGTGTAATTGAACAAGTCATAGTGGAAAGGACCCTAGATTTGGGGTCAGAGTCTGGGTTTCAATCCCAGCTCTACCATTTACTCCCTTTGGTGGCTGTGGGTGAGTCACTTAGTTTATCAAATAAAGTTTTGTTTCCTCCTCTGTAAATCAAGAGGGTTGGATTATATGACCTTGAAGGTGCCTTCCAGCCAGGGGTATGCTGATAAATGCTGATGAATAACAACCAGCTCTCCGGGAAAACATAAGCAAGATACACATTTTTCATTTAACACATTTTTCATTTAATCTGCATTATTAACGTTTTCTCCATCACTTTCTTAAGTCTAGACAATCAACAAAACAATAAATCAAGCCCTGATTTGTCCCAAATGTTCTCTCTGAAAATTGGCCAAGTCCTAGGCTCTTCTGTTAATACCACCCCCAGTGCCTTGTTAGAGGTTGGGAGGGATTTCTTACCTGTTCCTCATTGGCCTTGGGCTTGGCGAGTCTAAACAGAGGTGTCAAACTAGCAGCCTGGGCCGCATGGGGTCCATGACGCTCCCTGATGTGGCCCAAACCAGATTAAGATGTGATTGGCAAATGTTGAACAAAAGAAATAAAAATACAAGAAAACATACCTAATGTTACATTTTAAAACTAAGCCAATGTGTAGCCCAACAGGGATCCTTATGTATGGATTCTTGGCCTTCATTTCTATTTGTGTTTGATACCTATGGCTCTGTGATGCTCTAACTACTAACCCAGACCTGGGGAAAACATGACGTGGGTTGGCTCTCACCCCTGCAAAGAGCTGGTTCAAGGCCCAAGACATCTAGAGCACTCATAGAGCCAGTCTGGGGCAGGAGGAGGCGGCCTGGGGGGCAACTCTGGTAGCATAGGCAACAGCTTGGAATGGCAACTCCCAGCAGCTGCGGTTCTATCTCTTTCTCTTCTTTTGTAGATCTACCACAGCCCCATAACGAAACAGGAAGAAAGTGAGTCCATCATGTATCTGTTGTGCTGACCTTATAAACTGCCAGCTGTTCCAATTTGCAGCAAATGCTACTTGTGTTGGGATATCTGGGTGCAGGTGGGCAAAGGAGTGCCCCTTGTTGGGTGAAGATCAGACTTAGCTGGTGGCTGCTGTGTAACGTCTGACAAGCAGAGGAAGCCAGTTATTTATCTCCAAGTGGGGCCGAGGGACAAGTAGAGCTGTAATCTAGAGACGCAGAAGTCATTCTTGTTTGTATATCCTCCTTCCTCCTAAGAGGAAAATTAGAGCCTCCAAGCGTGAGGCCTATCATTTAATTCACCCCCTTGACCCCAACTCCCCACTGCTCCAAGATGGTTAGTGATGAGCAGCCATAGTGTATCATTGAAATAGCTGGGTTGGAACCCTGGCCACTGTGTGACGGCTAACTGTCTCCCTTTTCCTGAACAGTGGAACTCAATGACGTTGGATTCAAATTTGTAAGGAAGTGCACCAATGCTGTGGAGGCCAAAGGTAAGTAAAAGCTGGTCGTTGTCCCTCCCCACCTGCTGCCGTGTGTTTGGGATACGAAGAACATTGTATAGAGGCCAGGCTTCTAGTCTTGGCTACTCCACAGCCTCATTTTGGTGACCCTGGGCAAGCAATCTATCTTTCCTGGATACTGTTTTCTGTGTCTTTCAAATGAGGGTGTTGGTCTCTAAAGACTCTAGCTCTAAACTTCAACGATACAGAATTGACTCTTCTGTTTGCCCAAATAGCCACACATTCATTCATCTGTCACTCACTCAGAGAATCACGAAATCCGAGAGCTGAGATCTTAGAGATCATTGAACCCAACTTTATCATTTTATCATTTGAAGTCCTTTTTGTTGCTTCTCCTTTTGTTTCCAAATATGTGTGTGTGTGTGTGTGTGTATGTGTGTGTGTATATATTTATTTTGAGATTTTTGCTTTTTTTTTTTGGTTAAGCAATGAGGTTAAATGACTTGCCCAGGGCCACACAGCTAGTAAGTGTAGTAAGTATTACGTGTCTGAGCCTGGATTTGAACTCAGGTTCTCCTGACTTCAGGGCCAGTGCTCTATCCACTGTGCCACCTAGCTGCTTCCCCCCCCCCCCGCCCAATATATCTTCACTCTCTCTCTCCTACCCACTGAGGATTTCTGATAACAAAGAAAGGGGGTTAGGAAGCAGTTAGCAAAATTAACAAAGAAACTGAGTCTATGACGGAGATGCATTTTCTCAACCCTCCTCCTAGGTCCAGCTTGGTCACTATAATTACATTGTTCCATTTCATTTCATTGTTTTTGTTTATGTCGTTGTAGTCAATGTGTATATAGTTTGCCTGGTTCAGCTTTATTTATGTTGCATCATTTCATAGACGTCTTTCCGTGCTTCTCTGAGTTCTTCCTGTTTGTCATTTCTTTGGGCACAGTAATATTCCATGGCAGTCACATACGCTAACACCCTAATCCAAATCAGACCCAGAGTCACATAAAAAGTTAGTGGGAGACTCAAGACTAGAGCCCAGGTCCACTACACTGTAGTCATTAATTCATTCATTCATTTATTCATTCTTCCTTTCAACAAGCCATTTATTACATGCCAGCTGTGCTAAAAAAAAAAAAAACTGAGAAAGATGCTGGGTGGTGCAATGAATAGACCACTACACCTAGAGTTGGGAAGATTTGAGTTCAAATCCAGCTCCCAGTTCAAATCCATTTACTAACTATGTGACCCTGGGCAAGTTATGTTACCTCTCTCTGCCTCAGTTTCTTCAGCTGTAAAATGGGAATAATAAAAGCACCTATCTCCCAGGATTGTTTGTTATATGAGGATCATATGAGACCATATTTGTAAAGTGCTTAGCATAGTATTTGGTGCATAGTAGATGCTTAATATTTATTAAGCTTGCTCACCCTTTTCCCTTGCATTCATGAATCTGGCTCATATACACAATTCATCCGTTTTTCTCAACTGGCTCTAATTCCCTCCATTTTTACTTGAATTTGTAGCCCCAGCACTTAGCATAGTGCCTGGCACATAGCAGGCACTAGATGCTTGCTGCCTTGCTTTATTGCCTTGAAGGCCATGTTGAAAATAGCAGCATGAACAAACTGGCGTTAGTTTTGAGCAAGCATCTTGCAAAATGTCAGCACATTCCATTGGGGTGGGATCCAAGTGTATTTACTTTCAACAGTTTGTGGCTTCCTGCTTAAAAGGGGAAAGAGCTTCAAATGGCTTATAAAGTGTTTTTAGAGAGTGCTTGGCATCCTCCAAGTAGTGTTTTGATGAGTCAGATCTAAGTGAATTTAAACATGAAGATTTAGTTTCTGCTATAATACATGCAGATTTAAACATGGGGGGGGGGGGGCTGGGAAAGAAACAAAAGGCAAGAAAATGTGAGTAGTGGAGTTCTACCAAGAGACAGTGTGATTCAGTGAGCTTGTCAGATCTCTGCACTGCTTGAAGTGAGACCTATCCCAACCTGAAGTATGGCCTATCCCTACCCAAAGTAGGCCTATCCCTTCCCAAAGTATGGCCTATCCCTACCTAAAGTATGGCCTATCCCTATCCAAAGTAGGCCTATCCCTACCCAAAGTATGGCCTATCCCTACCCAAAGTATGGCCTATCCCTACCCAAAGTAGGCCTATCCCTACTTAAAGTATGGCTTATCTCTACCTAAAGTATGGCCCATCCCAACTCGAAGTACGGCCTATCCCTACTGAAATATGGCTATTAAGTGCCTTCCATGGTCCAGGCTCTGGGGAGAGAAAAAAATGAAAATGAAATAATCTCTGCTTTCAGGAAACTTGCATTCTACTAGGGGGACACTACTAATCAATTGGTCCATCAGCTAGTATTTATTATGTACCTACTATGTTCCAGGCACCATACTTGATGTTGGGAATACAAAGACAGAATGAATCAGTCCCTGCCTCAGGGAGTTTGCATTATAGAGGGGGAGACAATGTGTACACAAATGAATGTATAAAAAATAAATAATGTGTATGAAATAAATATATGCTTCTTGTATAGGAGAATCAGTTCCTGCCAAACCTTACTCTCTCACTTCTGGAATGTTGCCCCAGCTCTAGCCCATGTGTCTTCATCTCACTTTCTTCTTCAACTTTCTCAAAGGCAGGGCCAAGACATGGGGTAACCCAGGCTTTGCCCCTGTGCCACCATCCAGGGAAGCAAGGCTACCCTCAAACGCTTCCTTTTCCATGGGAGAGTGTTGGTCCCCAGTTGGCCCACTTCCTCACCCATCCTTCAGGCTACAAGTTTCTATCCCCTAAGGTCTAATGGCTGTCATGCCCGTATCCTGCCCAACTACCTGCTTGATGTATCACCTGGTCTAGATTTGTTTGGAATGCTTGGGTTCAGCCAGGATAATGGGAGGGGGAATGGAGAGGGGGACAATTCCTCTCCCACCCCACTCCCTAGTTACTTCAGCCCTAGGCCTCCCAAGTCCTTTCTATCCTCTGTTGTTAAACTCCCTTTTATCCTAGATCTCTTTCTTTCATACACCTTCCATATTCTAGTGAGTAATCACTAGAACTTCCCTTTCTTGTAAAGACACCACATCTCCTCGTGTTCTCTCAGAAGCTGGCAGTTTCTTTTCTCACGCCCCCGAGGAGCAGGGCCAGGGCCATTTCCAGAATTTCCATCTGCTACTGTCACTCCACATCTATATTTTCCCTTCTAAAGAACCTGGGCTACACTGAGAGGCCTAGCTTCTAGGACTGACGAGGCCTTCCATCCTCTGCCCTGGTCAGTGCACATCTACGTGACTGGGTTCACTTCTGGGCACCACAGTTTCCTACACCATTGAAATCACAGGGCCTGGCCAAAAACAATTATAAATCAGACAGTTTTTTTAATTACTCAAATTGCTCCCATATCTCTAATACTTTGCTAACAAAAGCACTCATTTTATGGATGCGGAAAGGAGTTCCAATGGTAAGAGGTCTTTGGGATGGGTCATGACCTCTTTCCACTATATTCCATCACCTCTTATGTCCAATTTGGCTAGAGTGAGAGGGGGTGAAGTTGTCCTTTGGGTCAACTGACCTCTCCCACAGGAAGACCTCCAGTTGACCTTTGGGTAGATCAGTCCGGACAATCAATGAAGATTGTTTCCTTTCATGTGAAAGCTGCTACTTTTCCACTCTGAGAGCTTCAAGAGCCCTAACTCAAAGCAATCTGCTCTTCCACCCTTAGGCATCACGACAGAGGGCGTTTACCGGACAGTGGGCAGCAACATCCAGGTTCAGAAGCTACTGAATGCCTTTTTTGGTAAGACGATGCTCTTCACTGGTTTGAAGACCGTAGGTCAGATAGTAGGAAGAATTTCTGGGCTATAGAGAGTTGGCAGAACAGGGACATTTGGAGGTAAGTGGTTTAGAGAAATTGCTTCAAATACACGGTGAGCACTCAAACTTATGTTAGCCTAGAAACAGCTGGTGTGAAAAGAGGAGAGAAGACAGAAGGGTAGGAAAGCAAAAACTGGTCAGCATGGGAATTTCATGAGGTTTGGACTGCCTTAACAAGAACGGGACTAGAAGAGAGAACATGAGAAAGAAGGGGCATTAGGATAGAGAATATAAGAAAAAGGAGGAGCCTTAGAAGAGAGACTGTCACAGAAAGAAGGGGTCTTAGAACAGAGAATGTCAGAGCTGGGCCCCCTAGAACAGAGAATGTGAGAGAAAGAAGGGGCCTTAAAACAGAAAATGTCAGAAAGAAGGACTTTTAGAATAAAGAGTATCACAGCTATGAAAGCCCTTAGAGCATAGCGTGGCAAAAAAAAAAAAAATGTAGGTCCTTAGAATTAAGAATGTGTGAGTTGGGAAGGGCCTGAGAACCAAGAATGTCAGAGCTGGAGGGGGCCTTAGAACCAAGAGTATTGGGGCTGAGAAGTACCTTAGAACCAAGAAGATCAGAGCTGGGAGGCACCTTAGAAGAGAAAATGCCAGAGCTGGTAGGGACCTTAAAACAGAGAATGTCAGAAAAAGATGGGGCCTTAGAACACAGAATGTCAGACAAAGAAAGGACTTTGGTATATCAGATGTCAGAACTGTAAGGGCCCTTAGAGCATAGAATGGCAGAAAAAGGCAGGCCTGTAGAACAGAGAATATCAGAAATGTGAAAGCCCATAGACAGGGGTGGGGAACCTGCAGCCTGGAGGCCACATGTGGCCCTCTAGGTCCTTGGGTGCGGCCTTTTGACTGAGTCCAAGTGTAACAGAACAAATCCTTTTATGGAGGGGATTTATTCTGTGAAGTTCAGATTCAGTCAAAGGGCCACACTTGAAGACCTAGAGGGTCACATGTGGCCTTGAGGTTGCAGGTTCCCCACTCCTGCATAGAATGTCAGAGTTGGAAGGGGCCTTAGAATAAAGAATGTCAGAGAAATAAGGGGCTTTTTAAAAGAGTATGTAAGAGAAAAAAGAGGTTCATAGAACAGAGAATGTCAGAGAAAGAAGGGGCCTTGGAATTCAGACTGTCAGAACTGGGAGGGAGTGTAGAATAGAGAATGTCAGAAAAAGAAGGGGCCTTAGAACAGAGTATATAAGAGAAATAAGGATTCTTAGAACAAAGAATGTAAGAAAATCAAGGGGCCTTAAGAATGGGTCTTAAAACAAAGAATGCCAGAAGAAAAAGGAACTTTAGAAGAGAATATCAGAGAAAGAAGGTGCCTTAGAAGAGAGAACATTAGAGAAAGATGAGTTCTTAGAATAGAGCATATTAGAGAAAGAAGGAGCTTTAGAATTGAGAATGTCAGAGAAAGAAAATGCTTAGAACAGAGAATGTTGTAGAGAGAAGGTGCCCTAGAACAGAGAACGTCAGAGAAAAAGGAGGCCTTAGAACAGAGAATAAAAGGGACCCAATGGTATCTTAGAACTGAAAATGTTAGAGTTGGAAGTACCTTTGGAGCATAGAATGACAGAAAGGTAAGTGGGGCTTTAGAACACAGAATGTCAGAGTTGGGAGGGGCCTTATGTCAGAGCTTGGAGGGGTTTAGAACACAGAAGGTCAGAACTGTAAAGGAAACTCGGCTATATAATACTAGAGCTTCAGGAGACCTTACAACTGTTATTTCCAAAGTTTCCATTCCTGCAACATCCCCTTTTTCCACAAAAACATTGCACCTTTCCATAAAACAATCTCTGCAAACCATTTTCTTTGCTTGTATTTAATTCAAATGAAATGAATTTGTTACAAGTTTTATTACTATACACAATTAAATTTCAAACATGTAATAAAGATACCAAAGCAGGTTTTTTTTTTAAAAAAAATGATATAATATTATATTGTACTTCCCAATTTGAACAATGTTGAGAAGTGTAGCTGATTTTTCTGGTCATTTTTGCTTACCCACTAATTTCTAATTGACATATTTCTCTGACAAGGCCAGCTGCTCATACTCAAGTGGGTCAGGAGCCCTCTTAGACTCTCTGGACTGAAGGCAAAGGTTTCAAGCTGCCGCCCCTCCCTCAGTCATGGTTCCATGTGTATCAGCTTAGTCCCCAAGCCCGTATGAAATACTTTCCATGTGGCAGGTGCTTGGGTACAAATACAGTCATGAATGAGATGCCCTCAAAGGGTTTACGTTCTACTGGAGGCATAAATGCTGAATGCCCCTACAGTCCTATGAATGCCATGTCCTGGTCCACATGGTGATGCCTGAACCCCCTTCTCAAAACCCTGAGGCAGGAGCAGCCTACAGGTGCACCCAGACCTCCTCCCTGATCTCATCCCTACCCAGAGCTAGAGAACTCCAGCACCAAAGCCGAGCTGTGCAGTATCCAAGTCGCCCGGAGGACCCTGGGGGGAATTGGTTATGGAAAGCAGGAGATAGGTCTGAGTTGGGGCCAAGGACTCCATCCAGATGCAGTAGGCCCCTCCTTTGCACTCTTGGGACACCTCTTCCAGTTCCCGGTCTGCACCCGTCTGCAGATGACCTTGGCCTCTTCCAGCAGCAGCCTACGTGAAGGCCATAACTTCTCTGTGGTCCGGTGAAGAGGGCTACTACCACCATCCCAGAGAACCCTGCTGTGCTCCCACCAGGGTGGACTACCTCAAACTTGACCTCCTTTGTATGGCTGCTCTGAAAGAATCAAGGCTGTGGATTCCTTCTCAGTTGGAGCAAATACTTCACGTTTTAGACTTACACTTTGTTTTCATTGTTTTAAAAAGTGCATGTACTTCTGCAGGAGGGCATACCTTCAGCAATTGTGATTGGTGCTTCGAGCCCAGGGTTTCGTGGCTCACCATTCAGAAACATCTATCTTAAAACTTAGAACAGAACGTCAGAGCTTAAGGATCGTCTAATCCAGTCACCTTTCTAGTTCTTTTTGTCAAATGTGCTCATATGTCTCCTTTGGGCACAACCAGACTGGTTAACAAACCCCTTTCCAAAACATCTTCCCTGCCCCCTCCTCCAGTTCTTGGCTATTGAGAGAAAGAAAGGATGAGTCCTCTCACTTGGCCAGTACAGCATGTACTGAATTTCATTTCTGCATGTGTTCCACCCTTTTTTGCCTCTTCCAGTTGACTTCACGTTGTTAGAGTTGCTGTTGAGTTGCCACGTAAACTGTTCTTTTGGTCATGAAGTTTTGCATCAGTTCAAACCAATCTTCCCAGATTTCTCTGAATTTGTCACATTCTGTCATCCCTTACAGTGCAGTAATATTACATTAGGCCACATTCATAACAGACTTTGTTCAGCCATTCTGCAATTCTGAGGTACAGATTTTGTTTTCAGGGCTCTGTTCTCACAAATAACACAGATATTGACAGTTTTGTACATATGCCCAGGCATTTTCTTATTAGCAATAACATCTTTAGCATGTAGGCCCAATAGTGAAACTCCTAGGTCAAAGGGAATGAATGGGCACAGTTTTATTTTCCACTCATTAGTTTTTCCATCTTGTAGTGTCTTGGCTAGCTTGATGGATATAAGGAGATAATGCAGGATTGTTTTATTTCACATTTTTTGATTATTAGTTATTTTGAGCATTTTGAGGTAGTTTTCCACTGTATTTCATCTTCCATTCGTGGACCACAATTTATTTAGCCATCCCCCAATCAATGGGCATTCACTTTGTTTCTAATTTTTTTCTATCACAAAAAGGACTGCTATGAATATTTTGGAAAGCTCTTTAAATTTTGTATTTGTTCTATTGGGAACTTAATCTATTCAATTGAATGTCCACTATGTGCAAGGCCCTATGCCAATCAGATGTTTGTGGAGCTTTCACTATTCCAGGCTGTTTGGAAGGTTCCATTACTGGTATTCTTTAGCCAGTCAACAGCTGGCAAGCAAAGCTACCACCCACACAAACTAGGCTAAATGGGTTAGTCCGGCTAATTGCATTTTAGGCTCACCCCCACCCTCCTTATTTTATAGAGGAGGGAACCAAGGCCCAGGGAGGTGGATTCCCTTGCCCAAGCCCAAAGTCCACTGGGCTTTAAACAGCTCCTCAGACTCCACTCCCAGGGCTCTCTCTGTCTGTGTCTCTGTCTCTGTCTCTCTCTCTTTCTCTCTCTCCCTCCCCCTCCTCTCTCTCTCTCCCTCTCTCCCTTCCTCCCTTCTTCCCTCCTTCTTTCTCAACTGAAGGATTAAAGGGGAATTTGGATCTGGAAATATCAGCCTTCTGTATATGGGTACAGTTCAGGGAGGACTAGCACCAATGGTGTGAAGGGTCCCTAGCCCTTCTCAGAGCTGCTCAGCCACCTTTGTGTCCACCTGATTCACCCAACTTTGACACGTGGCTCCAAGAAGCTGTAGTATGGGCAGCAGCCACACCCAAGTACAACTGTCTCAGTAGATGGGCCAAACCAGGCTGAGGGTAACTGATGGGCCTCAAACCTCTTGGTGAGTTAGGGGGATGTCAACCTTAAGGATGGGAAGACTTCCCTTGTGGAATGGGCAGATGAGAACAATTTGCTCCAACGACCATTTAGGTGGCTAAAGCAGGTGCTGTGGATCCCTTAGAGCTTGATTAGACATTAAAGATGCCAAGGTCACCACTGCATCCTGAGCCATCACTCGTCCTCTTGACTTTTGTCCTGCCATTGGACTTTGATGACTCTGGAAGAGAGAGGGAGGCAAACAACTTTGTATATCTCTGCCTCACTTATCCACTTCACTCATGAGTCAATTGTCTTTGGTCCTCTTTGAAACAAAGAATGAATAACAGAGAATGTTTAACACATGCTTCACTTTTCCATTATTTACTATGCTATTCTGTATTAATTCCTTTTGCTTGTAAGAGTCATGTGTCCTTTGTGTGTTCTGTTAGAGGGGTGTACTGATGGAGGTTGAAGCTTAGGTTTTGGATAGTTGACAAGCCAAAATAATACAACCCAGGAAAGCATGAGAGGCCCCAGAGCCATGTGGGAAACCTTTGGGGGCCCAGTGTTACACTAGACACTGCCCAGGACACATGGTTAACTATCTTTAAATGATATTTTCTATTTTTAAAAGGTGGGAAAATTACCGTTGGAAGAGCCTTACTTCTTTTCTCTTACAGATCCCAAATGCCCGGGAGATGTTGATTTGCAGAATAGCGATTGGGATATTAAGACAATCACTAGCTCCTTGAAATTCTACCTCAGGTATTTCTGGTTGGCCAAGGAGGTTAGGCATTTCTGTGAGCCTGTGGAGCTGGGGGATTAAAACAGATGGGAGGAGGGGTGATGTATTTATAACAAACATCTCTCAAGTCAATAATGAGTGTAAAAACTTGTACCTCCCCCGGGGAGGTACAAAGTTTAGTTGGTCTTGGCTCTCATGGGTTTTACAGTCTAGAGATGGGATGAAACACCAGCACATATAGCTTAAGAGCATTAGAGAAGGCCTTCTTCATGAGCAGGCATCTGAATTGGATTGTAATGGTCAGACAGGTATTCAACAGGTCAAATGGGAAGTGGACGGAATCCCTGGTAAAGGAAACTCCCTGACACAAGTGAGGCAGCAGAGACAAGTGTTTTAACGTGGCTGGTACATAGAGAAGAGCAGTACGGTCCAAGGTAGGAAAGGCACTGTATCGTTGGATTGTGGTCAGCCTTGAATGCTAGTCAAGGGAAGTTAAACCCTACTTAGTAGGCAATAGTGAGGCATCCATGCCTTTTTGAGCAGATGACCTGACGGTGGTATAAAGGATAATTCAAGAGAAGGGCTTCCCAGCCCTTTTTGATCTCTGTGCCCCTTGGCTTTCAGTAAATCTTCCCATGCCCCTGTATTCATTATAAAAGAAAATAAATTCTAGAGTTGACCATGTTTGCGTTCAGGAGAAATAAAATAAGATAAATTAATAAATTTTTCCTAAGAAAACCAGTCAGTTCCTAACAATCTTTTCACTAACACAGTAGTGTTTTTGGAATATTTCAGTTGGATAATGTAATCATTTACCCAGTATTGTCAATACCCTCTCGCCAAGCTTCTCATGCCCCCTGGGGTTGGGAGCCCCTGGATTAGGGGGAGCAGGGAGTGGAGACAGAAAGTCCTGTTAATAAGCCATCATGGTAGTCCAGCTTTGGCAGGGTGTGATCAGTGAGGTCCTGTGCCAGTGGGCCAGTCACAGGAATGGAGAGGAGGTGATAGATTCAGTTTACCATCTCCGGTGGGGCATAGGTGGAGGCGCAGGGATGAAGAGGGCTCTTGTAACTTTAGGGCAAAGTGAATGTTTACACGCAATCCTGAACCCACCAGAACAAATGGAAGGAAAATTGTCTGGCTGCCAAAGTACAGGCTGTATTGTCCAGGCCCCTGAGGCCTTTGTCATGCATGCCAGGAGGCAGTCAAGAACCATTGGCTGATTTTGTTGGCTTGTTTTTACCAGACTGCTCATACCTCTTAGCATTGCTTCTTAAAGGCCTGGCTTAGTGGGTTCTGGCCAGAATGTGCAATGTAGGCACATCAGGCCTGCTCTAGGATTTAGTAATCTCCTTTCTAGATTGCGGGGAGGTGGTAGCTTTAGTCAGTACCATTTTGTGAATTCCTAACAAGAAGGAGGAAGGGGAAGTTGGGGGGGCCGAAGAGGCAGGGGAGGAGTTGGAGGAACAGATGGAGGAGCCTGGGGTGCCAGAGATTGCTTTGGTGGTCCCAGCCCTGAGGGAGTGGGAGGGAAGGGAGGGCAGTTATCAGCCTCTTTGGAAATCCTTTCCTCTAGGGTAGGAGAATTTCATTGCTGGCCCCTCCCCTCCCAAAGGAACTCTTTGTCCTCTCTTTTTATTTTAGGAATCTTTCGGAACCTGTTATGACATATAAGCTCCACAAAGAGCTGGTCTCTGCCGCCAGTAAGTAAGTCCTAACCATTTTGTCATGTTTTCCCTTCATCGGACAAAATTGGAATGTGCTGAGTCAGCCCAGAGGACCTAGCAGGATAAAACACCCGGGAGGGAGCAGCATTGTGCTATACTAGTGAGAATATTGGATTCAGAGTCCAAAGCCTTGGGTTCAAATCCTGTCCCCATCACTTGGTAAATCCACAAGCATTTATTAATCAGTTACTGAGTGTCAGGCACTGTGCTAAGGGCCAAGGATACAAAGAAAGGCAAAAAACAGTCCCTGACCTTAAGGAATTTACATTCTACTGGGGAAGACAAGATAGCTTCAGAGGACCTGTGCAGCCTCAGTTTCCCCCTCCATAAAACAAGAGGATTGGACTAGATGATGTTGAAGGCCCTTACCAGCAGAGGGAGGGAGGGAGACAGGAGAGCAGGACTGGACACTGGCTTGCTAAGGCCCAAGAGAACAGATCCATAAGTGAGTGTAAAAATTTGCTTTATGATTTCATTGATTTCATTGCTATAGGGAGCCCCTTCTCCCAAGCAGATCAGCCCCTCCTCTGGAGTTTAATCTTGGGGAGTTGCCTGAGTGACTTGCCCAGGGTCACACAGCCAGTGGGTATCAGAGGCAGGGTTTGAACTCAAGGTTTACTGACCCTGAGGCCAGCCTTCCACTAACTATTCCAGGCTGTTTCGAAGGTTCCATTACTGGTATTCTTTAGCCAGTCATCAGCTGGCAAGCAAAGCTACCGCCCATACAAATTAGGGTAGATGGGTTAGTCCGGCTAATGGCATTTTAGGCTCACTCCCACCCTCCTTATTTTATAGAGGAGGGAACCAAGGCCCAGGGAGGTGGATTCCCTTGCCCAAGCCCAAAGTCCAAGGGGCTTTAAGCAGCTCCTCAGACTTCATACTTTCCCATGGCACCCCAGCATGGCAGCCTTTGCCTGCTGCCACTGCAGAGGCCAGCAGCCTGGAGGAAGAGAAATCGTAGGCAATAGAAGAGCCTTGCTGGTACAGGCCAGTCCTCTTTGCTGTCTAATTCAAGAGCCCAGCCAATATCCCCTCTCCTGGTTTTGGCAGAGGAGCTAGGAGAAACAAGGTGAAGGGTCCAGGGCCTGGGTTCAAATCCTGTGTCTCCTGCTTACTATTTGCATCATCTTGAGCAAGTACCTTCCCTTCCCTGGGCCTCAGTTTCCTCTTCTGTAAAATGATGGGGTAGATCTAGCCAGCTTCTGAGGTCTTGTCTTGCTCTAGATCTAGGATGCTATATGTGACCTTAGACAATCCCTCCCTTTGCCTCAGTTTCCTCCTCTGTAAAATGAGGGCATTGGTCTAGCTGGCCTCTGAGGTCCCCTTGGGCTTTAGAGCTAGGATTACTTGATCCTGTATGGCAGGCCATTGTATCTTTTCTGTAGGAATAACTGGCTTGGTTCCCTTGGGGTGACTGGGCAGGGCCAGGCCAGAGGTGGCACCTTTTTTCTGTTAAGATTGTTAGTCTTTTACCTAGCCTTCTCAAGATGTTCTTCAGCTACACTGTAGATCATTCCTCCTGTAGCAGCATCCAAGTTCATAGACAAGGAAACTGAGGCACACAGCCAGGGCAAGTGAGGTGCTTAGAATATTAATTAAGTAGCTAGGTAGCTCAGACCACTGGGCCTGGAGTCAGGAAGTCCCAAAGTCCCAAGTTCAAATCCAGCTTCAGACACTCCTTAGCTTTATGACCCTGGGCAAGTCACTTAATTTCTACCTGCCTCAGTTTCCTCAACTGAAAAATGGGGATAATAATAGCACCTACTTCCTGGGGTTGTTGTGAGGGTCAAATAAGATCATATTTGGAAAGTACTTAGTATAGCGCCTGGCACATAGTAGGCATTTAATAAATGCTTATTCCCTTCCCTTCCCCTGGATTAGCTACCATTTCTCCAGGATTCTAAGGTTTACCAAGTGTGAGTTAGTTCAAGCATGATTGTCCCCATTTTATGGGGGAACACCAGAGCCTCAGAGAGAGGAAATGATTTATCCAGTGTCACAAGGCTAATAAGTGTCAGAACTGGGATTCATGTCCAGCTCTCCTGCCACTGAAACCCAGGTTGTTTTCCAATCCAGCACTTTTCCCTTGGAATTTTCTGGGCTGCCACTCAACCATTGGTTTGCCTACAGACAGCTCATTTGCCTCTTCCTCACCCTAATGCCTAGAAGATCAGAACCTGAAGCTCTGTAGCTCTTAGCCCTGGACCCTGCTGCTGATTCTTCCCTGGCCTTGGAGGACCCAGCGGGCCCAGTTTTTGTGGGGGAGGAACATGACCTTATGGAGAAACCAGGAATCCTTATTTCAGATTTCCAGGGACCCAAGGGGTACAGGAGCCATCCCAAAAGGCTGAAGTGTCAGAGCCTTGGATTTGGGGGTCAGAAGAGTTGGTTTCATATCCTGGTTCAGCTGCATTCTTAGCTACATGACCCTGGCTCACTCACCTCTCTTGTGTCAGTTACCTGATCTGTAAAGTTAAGGGGATTAATTAGATGATTTCTAAGGCCCCCTCCAGCCTGGAGTCTCACGATCCCTCCCTATTTAGGACAAATAATACCCGTGATGGCACAAGGACCCAGCCTCTGGGCTCATATTTGGGCATTTCACCTCTCTCTCTCTCTCTCTCTCTCTCTCTCTCTCTCTCTCTCTCTCTCTCTCTCTCTCTCTCTCCCTCTCCCTCTCTCCCTCTCCCTCTCCCTCTCTCTCTCTCTCTCTCTCTCTCTCTCTCTCTCTCTCTCTCTCTCTCCCTCTCTGTCTCTCTCTCTCCCTCTCCTCTCTCTGTTTCTCTGTCTCTTTCTGCCTCTTTTTCTCTCCCTTACTCTTTCTCCCTCTCTCTGCCTCTCTGTCTCTCAGTTTCTTCTCTGCTTACAAGCATAGCTATACTCTGGGGCCCCACTTCCCAGAGTCCTCTGCTCCCACAGCCCAAGTGGATAACCCATGTCTGTCTCTTGATATTTTCTCTCAGAGTCTGAAAACCTGGATTACAGGCTGGGAGCCATTCATGCTCTGGTCTATAAGCTTCCCAACAAGAATCGGGATATGCTGGAACTCCTCATAAGACACCTGGTCAAGTGCGTATCTGGTACAAAGGTCTCCTGTAAGAGGGGCTGGCCAAGGGCTAGGCCTGATTCTATGTCAGCTCAAATGGGAATGACAGTAGGAATAGCAGTAGCTACAACTCTTATTTCTGGTCTACAAGCCTCTAGAAATTCTCCAACCCTAGATATCAAGGTCTACAGTGACCCCTGTCAGGTAGGGAATGCAGCTGTCTTCTCCTCATTTTTCAAATGAAGAAACTGAGGCTAATGGAGAGAAAGTGAGTTGCCCCAAAGCAGATAACTAGTAAGTTGTGAATCTAGAACTTCAATCCACAGCTCTGGACTCCAAAGTCTCAGGGTCTTTCTCCCTCCCCAGGAAGCTTCTTTGAGAGGATACCAGATATGGGAGGCTGAAGAGCTGGATTGGGGTCCAAACTCCGCTGTTTATATTCTGGGCAAGTCATCGTCTGACCCAGGCCTCAGTTTCCTCATCTGGAAAATGTAGAGAATAACACTTTTCCAACCTCTTTCATGGGACTGTTATAAGGAGCAAATGATGCCACAGGAGAGAAAATACCCACTTGGGCATCTATTTTATTAACCCTCTTTGGGTAATTATCTCTCCATTGGGTAGCCTGAGAGAGCTGAGCAGGGATGTGGTCAGCCCTTCAATGAGGGAAGGGGGTCCTGTGCTGGCCAGCTAGGATGGGGGGTGGCCACAAAGAACAACAGACCTCTTCTCTTTGGGATGCCCTGGAGCACACTTAGAGCACCAGGCTGGAAGGACCCAGAGGACATGGGTTCAAGGCTCAGGTCAGCTACCAAATGCTATATGATATCAAGTCAATGTGAGGAAAGTAGCTCAGAAAGCTTCAAATTACTCTCTTGGCCTCAGTTTCCACATCTGAAAATGAGGGGCTTGGTCCAGTTAATCTTAAAGGTCCCTTCTTTAATACTGTTTAACTTCTATGTTCTCTATGTAAGTCCGTTCATCACCTCTCCCTGTCAGAAGCTCTGATATTCCATGTTCTAAGGCCTCTCCCATCTCTGACATTCCCTGTTCTCAGGGCCCTCCTGGCTGTGGCATTCTGTGATTCTGTGATTTCTTAGACAGAAAATAATAATAATTCACATTTATCTGGTACCTTACATTTTACAAAGCACTTTCCTCAAAATGACCCTTTGGGGTAATAGGAATATTGTACCCATTTTACCAATGAGGAAACTGAAATGGAGGCCACAAGTATAGATGACCCTTTCTAAGAGTTTGCCTATGAAAGGAAGAAGAGCTCAAGCTTGGAGGGAAGGCTGGGTCAAGTGAAGGCTTTTTCACTATGGGGGAGATGCCGCTATTTAGCAATCCAAGTCCACCCGCATGTGCCTCTCTATAGCTAGATTATACTGGTTCTTCATACACAACATCCAATATCTTGTGTCTGGGCCTCTGTCCCCAAAGTGTGGCTTGTCCTCCTGCCTTCACGTCACCTCTTAGGCTCTCCTACCTTCCTTCAGGGCTTAGCTTCAGGGATGTCTTCTACTGAGGCCTTTCCAGATCCTCCCAGCTGCTAGTCTCCCTTCTCCTCCCACCCCATTACCTTGCATTACTTTGTTTTGTGTTTACTTCTGTGTGTTCATATCTTTTCCCCTGATAGACTGTAAACTTCTTGAGGGCAGGGCCTTTCTCACTTCTTTGTGCCTAGTACACAGTAGATACTTCATTCAGTGTTTGTTGATTGACGACTTGACCTGGGTATCATCATAATAGCTGACATTTGTATTGCTGCTTTAAGGTGTGCAAATTACTTTATATAATTATCTCATTTAGTTCTCAGAATAAGCCTATGAGGTAGGTGTGATTATTATCTCCATTTCATAGATGAAGAGCCTGAGGTTGAAAAAGGCTATGTGTCATACAATGGAAAGGGCTCTGTGAGTCAGGATCTGGGTTCACATCTTGCGCTGATGATTACTGCCTGTGTGACGTTGGGCAAATCACTTGACCTCCCTCTGCCTCAGTTTCCTCCTCTCAGAGGTCCCATCCATTCCAGCTCTAAATCTAGGATCCTATTGGCTTGGCCACAAAAGGTCACAGAACTAGTTGGTATTAGAATCAGGATTTGAACCCAGGCTTTCCTTATACCAAGTCCAGTGTTCTGTCTACTCAAGGTGCCTTGATGATTTAACACAATACATAATAATATATGACAAGCATCTTGAGGAGGTGTAAATAGGGTGGGGGGAATAAGGTTGTGAATTGAGGGGCCCTCATTATAGCCTGTGAGGTTGCTACAACAAGAATTATCATCCCATCCCCATTTTAAAGATAGGGAAGTGGGGAAATTGAGGCTCACTAAGGTAAAGTGACTACATAACTAACAGGCTGTCAGGCCTTAAATTGAACTCTTCTGGCTTTCTGTCCAGTACTCTTCTGCCTGTACCAGTAAGTGGAAGATGTCAGATATACAATCTCTTCCCAAGGAAGAGAACCCACGGTTCCCTTCTGGTGCCTCCCAGAAAATCTGGAGGAGAGAGAAGGGCCAGGAACCGACGTGGGAAACTCAGAGCTTCCCCCAATGACATGTCAAGGTTGTCTTCTCTAAGGAAGGCGTCTCAGTGTTTAGGGTCTGGACTTCAGAGCTGGAAGGGTTCTCAGCTAGTCCAACCTCTTCATTCCACACATGAGGAAACTGAGGTTCAGGGAGGAGATGGGACTTGCCCAGGGTCACACACAGGATCCTGGATCTAGAGTTGGAAGGGGTCTTAGGGGCCAGTTAGTTCAACCCTCCTCATCACATACATGAAGAAACTAAGACCACGGGTCACACAACCAGTGAGTGACTGAAGCAGGATTCAAAGCCAGGTACTCTGACCAGAGCCATAGCTCTTGGTTTTTCAGGTACAACATAGGTGACACTTTCTCTTTGTTGTTATCCAGTCAGTTTTCAGTCGTGTCTGACTCTTCGTGACTCCATTTGGGGTTTTCTTGGCAAAGACACTGGACTGGTTTGCTATTTCCTTCTCCAGCTCATTTGACAGATGAGGAAACTGAGGCCACTAGGCTTAAATGACTTGCCCACGGTCACACAGCTAGAAAATGTCTGAGGAGGGATTTGAACTCGGGAAGATGAGTCTTCCTGACTCCAGGCCTGGGTGCTCTGTCCACTGCAGCGCCACCTAGCACCACTTCTTCAAGTCACTCTTTTTACAGAGTGGGTCTGTGTAGGCTCTTTATCAATTATACTATAGAATGTGAGCTTTGGTTATTGCCTGTTTCCTCTCTGCCACCTTCCTCCTCAGGAAGCCGTCTCTTTAATTTTCCTCTAAATATCTTTAACTTTATACCTCTCTTTCCACTTAGGAGGTTCTAATTTGTATTCTAATTATTTATGCACGTCTTTTCTCCTTTCTAGACTCCTAGAGGGCATGGATCGGCTTCTTAATAAGATCTTAATATTTCAAATGAATTGAGCCTGGCACATGCTCAGCCCTGTGGGTTAGGCTGAGCTAATGTGTCCCCATCCCTGTTTTGCAGGCAAAGAGCATTAGGGTAGAAATAGCATCGGATTTGGAGTGGAAAGAACACAGGTTTGGGAATGGGAAGACCCGAGTTCCAACACTGCCTCTGGTGGTGTTCCTCTCGATGTGACCTTGGGCATGTCCTTCCCCCTCTGTAAAATGAGGGGGTTGGTTTAGATGGGCCTCTGAGGGCCCTTCCAGACCTAGACCTATGAAGGGAAGGAGAGGGAGCAAACATTCATTAAGTGCCTACTCTGTGCTAATAAGCACTTTACAGATATTCTTTCATGATACTTTGGGCCCCCAAGTCCTAGCTCTGCTCTTTACTAATTAGGACACCTGAGAAATGAAGTGATTGTAGCTGCTAAGTGAGGGGCACAAGGCCTTCAGCCTGGGTCCTGAGAGCCTAGGGCCAGTGCCCTCTCCTCCCTCCCCTCTATTTTGTAGCTCCCAACAGGATGGTGTATACAGCAGGTGCTTAATAATAACTGACCTCCAAGTACTGGGAAAAGCCCCCCCCCCCCCAAGCTATAGCTCCAAAACCTTGGTCCCAGGTTCCAGAGTGCCAGGCAGACTGCCACATCATTTCCTCAGCCTCTTCACTGGGTGGCAGCATCGAGTTGATTTTGTCTTGGAGGCCTAATCTCCAGAAATCTGGGTAAAGGGAGACAAAGGATGGCTTGCATTTTAAGGGCCCTGTTACCAGCCTGGAAGGATCAAAGGCCTGGGCGGCTGTTGCTTATTACCATTTGAATGACAATGTTTATCAAGTGCTAAACTATTTTGTATTAAGGTCAATTAATTTGTCTCCTGCCCTCAGGCCCCAGTCTTCCCTGCCTTCATCTCCTGCCCCACCCTCCCTAACCTCTATTTCCATATTCTCCTTGGGCTTTGGGGGCAGAGGAGTGCCTTTCTTAAGTTGCTTCTTCTGCTTGGGATGGCCTCTTTCCAACACCCCCTTTACTCTCCTTCTCTACTAACACCTGAATTAGGTATAACACAAGTCTTGATTGTTAGCAGCTCTGCCGATCAAATAGTCCTGGGACTTGGAGCAAAACACTTCAGGAAACTGGGCCTTGGTGTCATTTTGGGTCAAGTAAAAGATATTGGACCTGATTATTTCTTATATGTCTTCTAGCTCTAGCATTATTCGGTTATCCCTTCCCCATCGTGACTTTCCCCATCAAGATTTCGATATTGTGAGTCAACATAAGAAATTAAATGGGAGGGCAACTAGGTGGTACAGCAGATAGGGCACTGGCCCTGGAGTAGTCAGGAGGATTTGAGTTCAAATCCGGCCTCAGATACTTACTAGCAGCATGACCCTAGACAAGTCACTTAACCCAGATTGCCTCCCCCCCACCCCCAAAAAAAAGGATTTTCTTAAAAAAGGCGTGGGGGGGGTGCAGCTAGGTGGTGTAGTGGATAGAGCTCTGGTCATCATCTTTCCCTTTACATTCCCATTGGGGAGCAAGGGACTCATTTAGTTCATTTCTCTGTCCTCTTTTTTTCCCCTCACAGTGTGTGTGAGCACAGCCGAGAGAACCTGATGTCTCCCTCGAACATGGGAGTGATATTTGGACCCACTCTGATGAGGGCTCAGGAGGATACTGTGGCTGCTATGATGAATATTAAATTCCAGAACATCGTGGTGGAAATCCTTATCGAGCACTTTGACAAGGTATGTGTGCCTCCCCGTTGGCCCTCTCCTTCCCTTTGTGGGTTGGCCTCAGTGGCCATATTGGCTGCAGCCACGTGGGCTGTAGACTTTCCCCAGGTCAAGTTGGGAAGCTGATGAACAAATCCCGCTTTTGTTAAAACAAATGCTTTTTTTTTTTAATGGAAAGCAACTTTATGAATTGAAAGTGTGAGGTAACGGCACCTCTGATGGGTCCCTGAGAGGCTTTCTGGTAATAATATAGTTCCCACTTCCGTCCCTTGGGGCTTTTGCAGGCCAGTTTCCATCCATTAACAGACCTCTGAGACTGTCTGGTCCAACCCTCTCATTTTCGAGCCTGGGAAGCCAAGGTTTTGAGAAGGGAACTGACTTGGCCAATTTCACACAGTTAATAAGTATGACTGGAAAGCAGTCACTGACCTGTGCTCATTCGCTACTGCCAGATTCCTCCTGCATTTTGAGGTAGCCAGAACAGGCCTGATGGTCCCCATCTTATCTAGCGGCTGTAAGGTTTGCAGATTACTTTATGGATTTCACCTCCTTTGATCCTCCCTGCAACCCTGGGAGGTAGGGGCTTGTTATCACTTCATTTTATCAGTGAGGGATGTGAGCCTGAAAGAGGTTCACCTGGGTAGTAAGTGTGAGGCATGGTCCTGCTCTGGTCTTCCTGTCTCGAGGTCCAGGGCTCTGTCCATGACATAGCCTAGCTGCCCTGAATGAGGAAACCGAGTCACCTCCTCAGAGCTCCGGGACCCAGGTTTTCAAAAAGCCAGTATTCTTTCCACTCAATTTCACCTATTTTTGTCAATCCCAATACATCAGACCATAGAATGTTAGCACTAAAAGGGCCATTCAGAACCCCCCAGACGCAGGCATGTGATTTTATTAGTCTAAGAAATGCCCAGCTGGGGAAATGCTAGGGATGCAGATCAGGACCTCTGGGCCATTTGCTGTCCTAGAGAGCTGCCCAGGGTTACTCCGCCAGCATATGTCTGAGAGAATTCGAACCCAGGTCTTTGTGATTCCCAGGCCAGCCCCTCCACCTTAAGGCCTCTCCAAAAGAGACCTTGGAGCATAGAAAGTAGAACTGCAAATGACAGCTTGAAGGAACATAGAACAGGATATATGTAACAATGCCTAATACCCCAACTCATATACACCCAGGCTGGGTCGTCAGGGGGTGACTGCCCCACTCACACTATACACAGAATGTTAGGACTGAGAGGACCTTTGAACATAGAACTTCAGAGCTGCGCGAAACTTTAGAATGTAGAACAGAAACTGTCAGAGCTGGAAGAAATCTTAGAATATGGAATGATAAAGTATAGAGGACATGGGAATATAAAATATCAGAGCTGGGAGGGCTCTTAGAACAGAGAATGTCAGAGCTGGGAGGGCTCTTAGAACAGAGAATGTCAGAGCTAGGAGGGGCCTTAGAACCCAGAATGTCAGAGCTGGAAGGGCTTTAGAACCCAGAATGTCAGAGTTGGAAGGGCTTTAGAACCCAAAATGTCAGAGCTAGGAAGGCCTTAGAACCCAGAATGTCAGAGCTGGAAGGGCCTTAGAACAGGCAATGTCAGAACTTCTTGGGGGTGGGGTTTAAAGACCATCTACTCATCCCTCTAATTTTGGGACAGAGGAGCTGTTTCATTCTGAGAGGGCAGGCTATAGTAGGGATGAGGCTGTTTTCAGTAATTTGGGAGCCTGAGTTACTTGGGTTGTTTTACTCTCTAAATGGCTACTGTTGAACAGGTATCAGGCTCAGGCCTTTTTGGGGTTAGCTGTATCTCAGTTATGCTGGAGCTATAGCAGAAAGAGGGATGACTTGGGAACTGGAGGACCAGGGTGGAATACCGGCTGTTACACTTACTTATAATTGAGTGACTTAGGAAAGTAATTTCACCCCTCTGGGCCTTAGGTCAGGAAGTCCCGAGTTCAAATCCAGCCTCAGACACTAGCTGAGTGACCTGGACAAGTCACTTAACCTCTGTCTGCCTCAGTTGTCTCAAATGTAAATGAATGTCATAAAAGCATCTTCCTTCCAGCGTTGTTGCAAGAATCAAATGGAAAAATATTTGTAATGCACTTAGTACAGTGGCTGGCACATAGTAGGAGGTTAATAAATTCTTGTTCCCTTCTTTCCTCTGGAAAGTAAGTGGATTGCTCTAGATCAGGAGTTCTCAACCTGGGGTCTGTGGATAAATTTCAGGGGGTCAACGAGCTTGGATGGGGAAAATGCCATGTTGATTTTCTAATCCTTGGTATTTTATTTTATGCATTTTAAAATCATGATTCCTTAAGGGACTCTGTAGGCTTCACCAGCCTGGAGCCAGGGCACAAAAAGGGTTAAGAAGTCCAGGCCTCAGTGGTCTCCAAGATCCAAACATGGGCTCCAGAGCTCTCTTCACCTCCCTCTAAAAGTCTCTCAGCCTTCACTTTAATTTCAGAAAGATTCTACTTTAAGTAAAAGGAGGCAATTAGAGAGCACAGCTTATTCTTAGCTATAAAAATGAATGACAAAGGGCCCAATTCCAGAGCCAGCCTTCTCTGCTGATATGGGAGGAAAAGAAAACTGGAGGGGAGGAAGGCTTGTTGTCCCCGCCCTCTCAGTGGGGGGGGGAGGGACAGAAGGAGACCTAGAGACCAAGAGACAGAGAGGAGGAAGGGGAGAGATAGAGAAAAGGGGGGAGAGAGAGAAGAGATAGAGACAGGGACAGGGAGACAGAGAGAGACAGACAGACAGAAAGGGAGAGAGAGAGAGAGAGAGAGACAGACACAGAGAGAGAGAAATAAGGGAAGGAGACAAAGAGAGAGAAATATGGGTAGGAGACCGAGATGAAAGGGAAGAGAGAAAGAGAGAAACAGAGAGAGAAGGGGGAGAGAAAGAAAGGGGGAGAAAGAGAAAGAAAGGGGAGAGAGAGAGAAGGGGAAGAGAGAGAAGGGAGAAAGAAAGGGGGAGAGAAAAAGAAAGGGGGAGAGAGAAAGAAAGGAGAGAAAGAAAGAAAGAAGGGAGAGAAAGAAAGGGGAGAGAGAAAGAAAGAAGGGGAAGAGAGAAAAAAGGGGAGAGAAAGAAAGAAGGAGAGAGAGAGAGAGAGATAGAAGGGGGAGGAGAGAGAGAGAGAGAGAGTGAATGAGTGAGCAAGCACACCCAAGTGAGCTTGGTGGCTCAAAAAGTGGGGCTTGTGAAGAGCTCCACAGCTGCCCATATGAATGTCAGGGAAAATCCCAGCCTAGCAACAGTGGAATGGGTTCTCTCCAGAGGTAGTGAGTTTCCTGTCCAATGTAGGATGCCCACTGGCCCAGATTGCTGCCAGGGCCATTCCTGCCCAGGTTGGACTCTGAGGTCCCTTTCAGTTCTAAGATCCTGGGCTGGTTCTTGATCATTCTGTGTTTGGCCGACTGCCATTACATTGAATTTCTCCCCTTCAGGACACACAGTATGAGCACCTGGGTATCCCAGGTATGCTCCTTATAATCCCTGGGACTTTGGACGAATTGCTTAGGTTCTCTGTGCCTCGGCGTCCTCATTTTGGTAAAGGGAGGCTGGCAGGGGCCAAATGCATGTCACCTTCAGCTTTGCAGCTCATGCTCCTTTGGGCCTGCACTCCTTAGGGAGATGACTCTTCCAGCCTCAGTCCATCTCTCTCTTCCTTCCAAGCTCTAGACTTGTTCTGAACGCCAGCTCCTGTGGCCTTTTCCCCAACCAGCAGAGGGCAATAATGCAATATGACAACCTGTCTGTGCCAGCCGCTCCTGGAATGACAGCTAGCTAGATATTGCTATAGCTATAGAGACATATCTGTCTATATGTATAGAGAAAGAGGGTGAGAGGGTGAGGCGGGGGAGCATCTAATTAAGGCAGGTCTTCATTTCCTTGCCTTTAATTTCTGAAGGGATAAGGTTAAGCCCAAAGTTATTAAAAAATAACATTTTCTTCATCTGTACATGGGAGGACATTCTCATGGTCTAATATATATTTAGCTTGGGTGTTAGCAAACATTTGAAATGAATCTGCAGAAAATGTCTTTTAAGTGGTAAGTTATTAAGACAGAAGTGTAACAGAAGTGTTCATTAGTCACAGTGAACCTAAGGGAAAACAGCTTGGAATTTTCAGTAAATCAACTTCCCCCATGCTCTGAATCCCCATTGCCCTGAAGTTCAGGCAATCTTGGGGAACATTTCTGGTGTACTGCAGTCCAAATCATGGCAGCAGGAAGGGACTTTGCTTGGACCAAGAAGGGGGGGAGGGGCTCTTCCCTTTCTCTCATTCCTGGTTGTAAGACCAGTGCTAGGTAGCCCCTTCATTTTTCAGATAAGGAGGCCCAGAGAGTTGCCCAGGGTCACATAAGTAGGCAGGATTCAAATCCAGGCCCTCTGACTTTTGCCCAGTTATTAACCCAATCTGACCCCACCTCATTCTGCCCTCCAAGGCCCATGGAATCTTAAGTTTCTGGTTCTTCCTTCTTCCCTTCAGATCTCAAATCCTTTTTCCTTGATTCTGGACTATCCCACGGGGGATAATCTGTGCTGAAAGCCAGGTGGCTACTTCCTGGAGTTAGCCTGAGAACAAGCATTGCCCTAACCCTTCCCGTATTTGGAGCCAGTCTGTTGTTTTCACATTGTTCTCAGGAGGGTCTAAGTTCATTGTGTCTCTTCCTGATCCCCTAATCCCAAAGCAGCTGGCCCAAATGTGGGCAGAGAGACAGAGCATAGCTGATAGGCCCCTATAGTCTTTGTTCCAGGCCAGAGACTTCGGCTTGGCAACATAGGACTGCACAACCTTCTCAAGGTGTGGGCCTTGTCCCAAAGCAGGCCTTGTGATACCCTCTTGACAAGCTGAGGTCCGACTACCAGAAATTCTTTGTGGCTAAGGAGACAAAGTCAGAGGATCAGAGTTTTAGGGGAACCTTAGAGGCCATCCATCGATTCTAACCCTCTTGTTTTACAGAGGAGGAAACAGGCCCAGGGAGGTGGAGTGATTTGCCCAAGGGCATACAGTTATG